TCCTTTCTGTTCCTTGCAGGTCATTATTCCCTGCTGGTTAGGGAATTACATTATTATTATTTTTAAAGATTTATTTTATTTATTTGAAAGGCAGAGTGACAGAGAGGGAGGGAGGAAGAGAGAGAGAGAAAGAATGAGAATGAGAATCTTCTGTCCACGTACCAAAAGGGCACATGGGTGGGGCCGGACCAAGCCAAAACCAGGAGCCAGGAACTTCATCCAGATGTCCTACATGGGTGAAGGGGCTCAAGCACATCAGCCATCTTTTGCTGTTTTCCCCAGCATACTTGGAGGGAGCTGGATCTGAAGTGGAGCAGACAGGACTCAAACCAGCGCCCACATGGGATACCAACACTGCAGGTGGTGGTGTGGCTTAACCTACTATACCACAGTCCAGCCCCAAGTACTTATATTTTAGATTCCCTGACAGGTGATTTTTGGGCAGCTCTATTGTTCTGTTTATTGGTGCCACAGTTAATCAAAGTCAAACCAACATTCTTATGTTGTAACTTTATCATCCACTACAATTTTATAGATTAAAAAAATACTCAGTTTTGAGAAATTATCTATAGAATTATAAAAGAAGAGTTATGTTATAGTTGTTTCTGTCCAAAAAGGAAGAGACCAGTGGGCAATAAGGTATAGCAGGCTAAGCCACCTCTTGGGACACCTACATCTCGTGTTGGAGGACCCGGTTCAAGTCCTGGCTACACCACTAACAGTAGAGCTTCCTGCCATTGCAGCCCTGGGGAGCAGCAGATAATAGCTCAAGTGGCTGAGTCCCTGGGAGACTGGATGGAGTTCCTGGCTCCTGGCTTCAGTCTGGTTCAGCCTCAGCTGTTGCATCTATTTGGGAGTGAACCAGCCGTTAGAAGTACCTATTTCTGGCCAGCGCCGCGGCTCAATAGGCTAATCCTCCACCTTGCGGCGCCGGCACACCAGGTTCTAGTCCCAGTGGGGGCGCCGGATTCTGTCCCGGTTGCCCCTCTTCCAGGCCAGCTCTCTGCTATGGCCCAAGTGCTTGGGCCCTGCACCTGCATGGGAGACCAGTAGAAGCACCTGGCTCTTGGCTTCGGATCAGCGCCATGTGCCGGCCACAGCACGCTGGCCACAGTGGCCATTGGAGGGTGAACCAACGGCAAAGGAAGACCTTTCTCTCTGTCTCTCTCTCTCTCTCACTGTCCACTCTGCCTGTCAAAAAAAAAAAAAAAGTACCTATTTCTTTCTTTGTCTCTGTCACTCTGTCTTTCAAATAAATAAAGACAAATAAACTTATTTAGAAAGTTACAGAAATCCTAGAGAGAAGTATTGAGTTGTGAGGATAAAAGGGGTAGACATACAAAATGAATTAAACTAGTGGGTAGTGTGCCCACCACATCTGGGCTCTGCACAGAACAGGTAGCAGTGATGGTTTTCCTATTGAACATGCAGGTACTTGCTAGAAAGACATTTCCATATTATTATAGCATTTTATTTTGTGTTCGAGGACCAGTTAAAACCCAGCTAAAGCAAAAGCAGATCTTAAATGAAAGGGATGCACAAAGTGGTGAGATAGTTGTTTGTCATTGTTGAGGATGGCAGCCTACACTGAGTTACAAGGAAACCAACTCCACAGCAAGAGTGTATTTGGGAATAGCAAGGGATTCCCCTCTGGGATATGCGTGCTATGGCGGCCACTGGGCTGTGCGTGCAGCCAAGGGGATTGGGTCAAAGAAGAAGTTTTCAAGACAAATATAAAAATATATGTGAGCGCTGAAACAAATACCATTGGTTGGAGAAGTCGGTGTTAACTTATTGATAGAGACAACCATTGTCAGCAGGTGCACTTGTACAAGCACCTCATCAGGGATACTGAAGTTTGAAGGAATTCCTTGCTTGTTCTTGTCATAGTCATGGCCATGTGAAAGCCCTTCCATTGTGACCTCGTGGCTCTGTTTTGTTAGGATTTACTTAAGTGACTCCACTTTGAGGGACCTGTGAGAAGTCATGCAAGTCATTGACTATCCAGAACAGTTTGGGCATTCAGGCATGGAGAGGAGTGATAAAGCTGGTTGTTTTAAACTGACTAAAAATCTCTGAAGCTCTCCAATGTGTGTAAATTCTACAGCAGAAGGTGTAGGAAACTTCAACAGTCTTTTAACCATTTTATTTCTGTTTTTAAAAGATTTTATTTATTTGAAAGGCAGAGTTACAGAGAGAGAGAGAGAGAGAGAGATCCAGGGTAGGGGTTAGGAGATGAAGAGAAAGAGACAGAGAGGTCTGCTGATTCACTCTCCAAATAGCCACTACAGCCAAGGCTGGGCCATATTGAAGCCAAGAGCCAAGAACTCCATTCAGGTCTCCCATGTAGGTGGCAGGAGCCAAGGTACTTGGGTCATCTTTAGCTGGATGTGAAGTGGAGCAGCGGAGCCAGGAACTGGTGCTCATGTGGGATGCTGGCATCGCAGGTAGCAGCCTAACTTGCTGCCCTACACACTGGCCCCAACCATTTGTCCTTAAAATGTGTGATTAGACAGTGGCTACTACTGCAAGGGCATGTCAAGAAATTATTAGTTATAGGCATTATATAAGGTGATATGATGAATTTGAGGTTCTCACAGTGTATGGATTATTTTAAATCTCAGAAAAAGAAAATTGCAGCTTTTACTACAGAATTGCAGTCAGTTCTTTCTGTTCATATTTTAAAGTGCTTTTTATATTATTGGGCACAGATAGACTAGATCAGGATGAATGGAGACACACAGATCAGTCCAGAAAGCACACTGACAGTTGAAAGACAGCAGTTCAAGTTCAAGGATGTGGTATCTGCACTTCCTGGAAGCAGGTGCAGTGCAGTGCAGTGGTCCATGTGGACAGCTGGAATGGGGGGAGGGAGTATGGCAGCTGGTAAGGGGGACCAACCCTTGGTCTGGGCTTCAAGGGCAGGACTGTGTGCCCCAACCCCAGTCTGCAGAAGCAGAGGTACTGAACAGGTCATCCCAACAGAGAGTTATTGCAACTAAAGTAAAATCCAGAGACTAGTTTAAAATTAAGGGAAAGCCCTTAGCGGTAAGAACTAGACCACAGAAAAGTCCAGTCTGCAAGGCTGACTTGATGCCAAGTCCTTCAGTCATGGAGACTAAGTCCTTAAATCCTTCACAGACAGGGGCTCCAGCTCCCAGGATAGGCCATGGGTCTAGGAGGCCAGCAGTCGTAGTGAGGGCAGCAGGCGGGATCCGTTCAGAAGGCAGGGCCAAAGGCAGGGCCTTGAAGTATCTGAAGTGGCAGACGTGCAAGGCTGGCTCTTTTTTTTTTTTTCTCTTTAAAGATTCATTTATTTATTTGAAAGTCAGAGTTACACAGAGAGAGAAGAGGCAGAGAGAGAGAGAGAGGTCTTCCATCCACTGGTTCACTCTCCAGATGGCCGCAACTACTGGAGCTGCGCCGATCTGAAGCCAGGAGCTTCTTCTGGGTCTCCCACGTGGGTGCAGGGGCCCAAGGACTTGGGCCATCTTCCACTGCTTTCCCAGGCCATAACAGAGAGCTGGATCGGAAGAGGAGCAGCCAGGACTCGAACCAGCACCCATATGGGACGCCTGCACTTCAGGCCAGGACGTTAACCTGCTGCACCACAGCACTGGCCCCATGGCTGGCTCCTCCAATCTCTTCCTTTTCCTTCTTGCAAGTGAATCGCTAGGATCATCAGACAAGCTTCTTCTCTTCCCCACTGTTAACTCAGTAATCGCATTCTTACCACTTTCCCCTGTCACTAACAATGACCTGTGGGTCCAGCTCTGCACTTCATTTTAATGCAGCTGCTCAGATGTCTGTTCCCCACAAGGTGGTCTGGGCCTTGCCCCCTGTGTCAGAGAGCAGTCTCTGCCACTGCCACCAAGGCGAGCTGTCCAGCCGCCTGGGCAGACTTGCACTTCCCATGAGGAAGCGAGACAACGTGGTTCTCTACGCAAAGCCTAGGTCTTGTTACCGGAGTTACTTCATTTCTTGGGGGAAAATTGCTGGCCTGGAAAGTAAGAGGCATAGGTACCACCCCATGCCCTGTTAACTGCCAGTGTTTTCTGCCTGTCAAGTTGACTGTGATGAAAGCTGTGTGCTGGCTGTCCAGGGCACAAGCTGATACAGGCGAGAAAATCTCATGCCTGCCGCCCCTCAGCTTCCCAGCAGACCTGGACGCCAAGTTGCAGACTGTCCTCATCCTTGGGTGAAGACTAGGGTTTAGAATAAGGTCAGTTCCCTTTTTGCTCAGAGAATCTTCCTCAGCCACAAAGTTTTTCTGCAAGAGAGGTCTTCCATCCGATGCTTCACTCCCCAAATGACTGCAACAGCCAGTGCTGGGCTAGACCAAAGCCAGGAGCTTCCTCCAAGTCTCACACATGGTGACAGGGGCCCAAGCACTTGGGCCATCCTCCACTGCTTTCTCAGGCGCATTAACAGGGAACTGGATCAGAAGGGGAGCAGTGTGGACTCAAACCAGTACCTATTATATAGGGTGCTGGTGCCAGCACTGCAGGCAGCGGCTTAACCTGTTGTGCCTCAGCACCGGCCCCTCCCAGATTTCTTTCCCAGTCCAAACCAACTCTGTCTTGCAAGCCTGGAATACAGGTTTCACACAAATTCTAAATCTTTCTTTCCCAAAGGAGGTCGTGGGCTTTGACTTTTACGTACACCTAAGGGAGGATAAACCAGCTCAGGGTAACAGAGATGGTCACGTCTCCTGTACATACTTCACAAGGAGAAGCACACTTCTGCATTCCGTAAGATTCAGCCCTCAAAAATGTATTATTGCAACTGCAAATTGTTGTAAAGAATTAAATTATGCTGGAAAATAACCAGATGTTATTTCATCTTGATGACATTTTAATTTCAGTTAAATGTCAGAAAGCAAATTAAATCCTAAGTAAAGCTTAACCTAAAATTATATTTGAAGGCTGGGTCTTGGAGGCCAAGGGAAATGTGGCTACCGTTTGTTTTTATTTCTTTGTGCTTTCTTTGAAACACTGTAGGCAACAGCATTCTTGAAAAAAGCCCTTACGGAAGAGAGTGCTGATGGGTCAGCTATTCACAGTAATGAATCATCTTGCAGCCTGCCATCTATTCTGAATGACAATCCTGGAATAAAGGAAGCAAAACCCCCTCTATGGCTCAACAGTGTTCGCACAGGGGAACAAGGTGACTATTGTGAAAGGGTCTATCCACAGCAAAAAGGCATTCAGAATCAATGCAACATACTCTTGTGCAAGGTGTACCCGTAAAATGCCACCGAGGAGAGAGTATCTCTGACTTTAATATGCATAGTGTGTTGTTTTCTACCCTCTTCCAGTAAATACTTATATATGTTCTCATTCAGTCTCACAGGAAGGGGAAAGCTGATTGTAGGGCTGTGGTTGTGCCGAACTACTAATAAAATAAGTGTTGAGCTATGAAATCTCAGATCACCTCATGGTGGATCATTTTGACCACAAAGAAGAGGGAGATCCTATTAAAATGATTCTGTAATGTGGAGTTTTGATATCACTTGTAATTTTAAACAAGCTTTTTAATGGTAATAGAACCTTATCAAAGTCTGAACAGGTGATTAGGAATGAATGAATTTATTCTCACAAAATGTAATAGTCGATTTTTAGTACCCAGAAATTGTGACTGTTTCAGCATTACTGTTAAGACATGCCTGGAAACAACTCCAGTGTTATTTTCAGGAAGCCACAGGTTGCTCAGAAAGTATTCAGTTTTCGAAAATCAATGTACAGGACGGGAGGCTCCTATGTTTTAAGCCCCATGCAAATTTGATAGATGTTAGGCTAAATTATGTTGCTTGAAAGCAACATAGAGATACCTTATATTTTTATCTATATAGTCTGAATTTTATTATCTCCAGGTCACAATGCAGATCACAAATGTGTACCCCTTAAAACAGTAACAAAAACAACACCACACGTGGAGAAATCCTTGCAGCTAACCACAGTGGACCACCAGAGATAGCCGTCACAGTGTCTTTTTTTTTTCTTTTTTACTGATTTTTTTTTAAAGATTTTTATTTTATTTATTTGAAAGAATTACAGAGAGAGGTAGAGACAGAGAGAGAAGTCTGTGCCGATCCAAAGCCAGGAGTCACAAGCTTCTTCCGGGTCTCCCACGTGGGTGCAGGGGCCCAAGGACTTGGGCCATCATCTACTGCTTTCCCAGGCCAAAGCAGAGAGCTGGATTGGAAGAGAAGCAGCTGGGCCTCTAACCGGTGCCCATATGGGATGCTGGCGCTTCAGGCCGGGGCATTAATCCACTGTACCACAGCGCCGGCCCCCGTTACAGTGTCTTGAGGTCTAGGAATCTGGGCCTGCTGCCCACAGGCTTGAGGAGACATCTTCAGGTTTAAGGCCAGTGGAGGCCTACGCAAGGCACAATCACCAGCTAGCTACCCCCAGAAGAATCTCAGCTTAAGTGCCTTGCCCCCTCCATACCCCATACCTGTGACAAGGTGGGTTAAAGGGAAGGAGTAACAACAGGTAGTGACACTACCGGAGAAGAGACACGGCCACCACCCTGTCCATAAGGTTGTTCAGGAGACAGGAATGGGGCCACGTCACCCCGTCATACCCAAGTGCTGCAGTAGCCAGCGGGGCCTGGTTCAGTGCCCTGGACGGGGTGGGAAGGAGTGCGGAGCCCTAGCCCAGATGTGACTAGCTTGCCTAGGCCTTAGGCCCAGACATGGAGATACATTAGTTTTAGAGCTGGCTTCCTCTTAAGAATAGCACTGTTTTAGACAAGAAATAAAGTAGGAGAAAAAAAATAAAAATGAAGAAGAAGCTGGAGAGGCAGTGAAAATGAAAGGAATGGCAGTTAAACCCAAACATGGGGCTGGCGCTGCGGCATAGTAGGTAAGCTACTGCCTTCGACTCTGGCATCCCACATGGGTGCCGGTTCAAGTCCCCGCTGCTCCACTTCCCATCCTGCTTCCTGCTAATGCGCCTGGGAATGCAGCAGAAAATGGCCCAAGTGCTTGGGTCCCTTCACCACATGGGAGACCTGGAAGGAGCTCCTGGCTCCTGGCGTCAGCCTGGCCCAGTCCCAGTGATTGCGGCTGCTTGGAAAGTGAACCAGCAGATGGAAGATCTCTCAGGGAGAGAGAGAGAAATCTTCCATGTACTGGTTCTCTCTCCAAACAGCCACAACAGCTAGGGCTGTGCCAGACCAAAGCCAGGAGCCAAGAGCTTCTTCCAGGTCTCCCATGCGGGTACAGGGGCCCAAGGACTTGGGCCATCTTCTGCTGCTTTCCCAAGCCATAGCAGAGAACTGGATTGGAAGTGGAGCAGCCAGGACTTGAACCAGCACCTATATGGGATGCAGGTATTACAAGCGGCAGCTTAACCTGTTACTCCACAACACCGGTCCCAAATAAATAAATCTTTAAAAAAAAAATCTGTTCCATAACTTTGAAATGCTGCATTTTTATTATCATGTGTTTGATTTTTAGAAGTTTCAAGTGACTGTGGAGATGAGAGAAAGGAAGAAAACATGGCCACAGTGATCCCAATCACAGGTAAAGTCACAGTTGCCTGAGAGTTTCAAACACAGGCTGTAGCCTTTTTAAGTATATAAAATATGTATCTGAGAGGCAGGGGAAGAGAGCCCCCATCTTCTAGTGCATTGCTCAAATGCCATGACAGCCAGGAGTAGCTGGAGCGGAAGCCGGGAACCAGGAACTCCATTCAGGTCTCCCAAGTAGGTGGCAGGAGCCCAGGTACTTGAACCATCCCTGCTGCCTCCCAGGATCTGCACTGGGAGGAAGCTGCGGTCAGGCCAGCACCTGAACCCAGGTACTCCCCTGTGGGATGCAGGCATGGGTTAGTGGTCTGTGCACCTGCTACCAGCAAGCAGATACAGCTGTCACGTGCAGGGTCTGGAGATCGCTCGTGAGAGCTTCATGTTCTAGCTTACCTTAGCATAAACTTGGGTGGAAAATAACCCTATCAGTTGAACTCACCTCCACGGCACACATTTACACCTGTAAGCACCCTCCACCACGCAGCCTTTCAACACTGGAGTCCGTCTCGGAGGGAAACAGCCAGCCAATATATGCAAACTACAGATGTTTCTGATTTTACTCTGTTCTTTCTTAAATTAATTGAATGCATATCATTAAAATAAGATTGGGGTGAGGGGCTGCCAGGAGCAGCTTGCTTGTGCCTCACTCACAAAGCCTGTGTAATACAGCAACTTAAAAATCTCTCCGGTCAGGATTCATCAAGGCCTGTTAAGATTTTCATACATGTATTAGGCTTGTTTAGATGGAATCTGAATGATATCATTACTTTGTTTAGTTTTAGAGTATCAACAGCAGCAATTAGTATTCAGAACAGAGTTCTATTTGCTGTACATCTGAATTTACTAGTACCTTGTTTTGTAAAGTGCTGTACTACTTCATTATAAATTCAAAGGTCTGACTTTAAATATTTATACAAGTAAATGCACGGTTGCCCCGAGGTACTAAGGCATGCATCTGCATATGTGGTGGTTTCGTTATGTTTATAAGCAGGAAAGAACGGCCTGCTTTTATGGCAATTCATTCTGTGGCATGTTGATTAATTTTGTAAACTCATGTTTCTTGTGATGAACTCTGGTTTTGAAAAAAGGAGTTTATAGTAGAGCAATTGTTGTATGTACTATGCATCAGCTAATATTTCACTCCAAAATACAAAGGTTTTCTTTTCCTTTAAACATTTTGCCCAGGGATACATGTGTTGAGTTTTTGTTGTTCGTTTTGTAAAAACTCTGGTAGGGTTCCTTCTTGATTATTTGTCTTAATAGGAGAAGTGTGGAAGATCTCAACCTGTGGCTAACCAGGGAATCATTTGGATGCTTTTCCCTTACATTTACCTTGGAATTTAGAAGTACCTGATGGCCTCTGAATTTCTTTCAGTTAAAATTACAGAGGCTTATTGAGGAGTACCCAGAAAGTAAGCTAGTTGCCCATTCTTCAATTCTCACTTCTCAGTATTCTTCCCATTCCTCCCTTGCTAAAAGTAGCTGTTTCTTCTCAGAAATAATCATGGATTTTCTTTACCAGAGAAGACATAGTAAAGTGCTGGGGTTTCAAAGCTTTCTTTTCTTTATGCAGAGAGATGTGTGGCATATGTAGAAATAGTTGGGAACATTTGAGATTAAGATTTTAAAAGAAATTATACTTTCAGCACCCTGCTATCAATGTGTAAAGAGTTGGTGGTTAAAAAAAAGAGTTAATGCTCCAACATGGGAAGCAGTCCACACAGCAGACTCATAGGATGACAGTTGCTCTAAATAACACTCTGATCTCAGAGTCAGCCCTTAAGGCATTCTGGTCTGGCTGAAAAACCCACGAGAGCATGGAAAGCCAAGACACTGTAGCAAAAAAAATAAAAAAAAAAAAAAAAAATTTCCTACATGAAGGATCTCTGTGAGTGAGATCCCAGTGGAAAGAAAGGGACTTTGAAGAAGGGTGTACTTTTCTCTGAAAGGAGGCGAGAACTTCCACTTTGCTTATAGCCTTGTCTAAATACTGATGGAATTTTTAGATACAGAAGGCTTCTGTAGCCTAGGACCCAGGTCAAGAGCCTTGGGTGATCACTGACATCACACGTAAGAGTGTTAATTGTTAAATTAACAGCAGGAATCACTGTGCACTAACTTCCCATGCAGGATCTCTGTCCTCAGAGAGTTGTATTATAATTATGTCTAAGTGGTCATAAAAGATAGATCATTCTTGAGTGTGTCTTTAAAGTTAATTTTTTTTTTTTAAAGTGAAATTAACTTCAAGATGCAATGACATTGAACAACCCTTGTCTCAACTGTTGAGGAACAGTTTGTTTTGTTTTGTTCATGCAAATTGTTGAACTCTTTACTTAGTATAGAGTTGGCCTTCTGTATATAAAGTTAATAAAAAAAAATGGATCTTAGAGGAGGACGGGACTAGAAATGGGAGAGAGAGGAGGACGAGGGGTGGGAGGGCAGGTACAATGGGAAGAATCACTTTATTCCTAAAGTTGTACTTAGGAAATGCATGAAGTTTGTATTCCTTAAATAAAACGTTTCTTTGGGGGAAAAATAAATATATTAAAAAGAATGTTTTAAAATCTAAAAAAAAGGCCAGCGCCGCGGCTCACTAGGCTAATCCTCCGCCTTGCGGCACTGGCACATCAGGTTCTAGTCCCAGTCGGGGCACCGGATTCTGTCCCGGTTGCCCCTCTTCCAGGCCAGCTCTCTGCTGTGGCCAGGGAGTACAGCAGAGGATGGCCCAAGTCCTTGGGCCCTGCACCCCATGGGAGACCAGGAAAAGCACCTGGCTCCTGCCATCGGGTCAGCATGGTGCACCAGCCGCAGCGCGCCGGCCACGGCGGCCATTGGAGGGTGAACCAACGGCAAAGGAAGACCTTTCTCTCTGTCTCTCTCTCACTGTCCACTTTGCCTGTCAAAAAAAAAAAAAATCTAAAAAAAAAAGAATACTTTGTGTCCATTGTATACCAAAGCATTAAACATACGAAAGATAACTTGGAGGATATAAAAAAAGCTTTGCTGGCCGGCGCCGCAGCTCAGTAGGCTAATCCTCCGCCTGCAGCACTGGCACACTGGGTTCTAGTCCCAGTCAGAGCTCCAGATTCTGTCCCGGTTGCTCCTCTTCCAGTCCAGCTCTCTGCTGTGGCCTGGAAGTGCAGTGGAGGATGGCCCAAGTCCTTGGGCCCTGCACCCGCATGGGAGACCAGGAGAGGCACCTGGCTCCTGACTTCGGATCAGCGCAGTGCGCCAGCTGCAGCGGCCATTGGGGGGTGAACCAATGGAAAAAAGAAAGTCCTTTCTCTCTGTCTCTCTCACTGTCTACTCTGCCTGTCCAAAAAGAAAAAAGCTTTGCTAAGTCATATACTTTGTTGGAGCCTGACTGTTCTGTCGTTGCCACCATACTCTTTCTCTCCCTTGGCCCCAAGCCATGCACTCCCCATGAAGTTCATGTTATACCTAGGCTCTGCTGAATACACTGCTGTGTCTGTCATTGCTGATAATTCTTGAGCATCAGCCTTCTAGTAAATTGTTGTATCCTTGACATAATTATTCAGAGATTTGACTTTTGATAGAGTAAAGCAAGTATATAATTTTAGATAGAATCTCCCTGTTGTGGTCTCCTCGTTGTGTATGTGAATGATGGTTGTGTTTGTATGGAATACATTCCTTCTAGACTATTCCAAAGACCAGGAATATTTCAGAAGCTGTCTCCTGAGGGTTGAGGAGATACTGCATTTGAGCCTGGGCTTTGGCATCAATCCTTATGCCCCCTGCTCTGTTTTTCCTTCCCACTGAGCCACTGTATTGGGAAAGCCAACACACTACCTGACAGGTGATCTTCAAGCTTAAATGAGATCATGTATGCGAAAGTACCTAGCAGATGCTAGACACTCAATATGCAGTACGTGATATGTATTAATAATGTCGTGAACATTGCTAGTGTTACTGATCTTCTGTGTTGGCTGCCACACTTCCCAGCATTTCCAAACCAGTACCATTTGTTTAAAGGAACCTCACAAAGCAAACTCAAAGAGGAAAAGATGCTGTGGGAATGCGGATGCATTGTCAGAGAAAAAGAGCAAATACATGAACAAAACCAAAAATACTCCTGAGAGGAGCCCCGAGAAGGGCGTCTGGACAACTCTGTCCTGGCAGCTGCTCACCTTCGCTGCACTGCAGTGGCCACTGGGGACCGAGACCCGTGGTGCTTCTCCAAGACAGCACTTCCCAGGAGTTCTCAGTTGGTTTCTGCAAGAAGTGTCCACTTGAGAGCACAGCTGACGATCTGACCTCAGAAGGGTGTTTACTTTATCAAAAAAGAACCTCGAAGCGGGGTTCATGATGCTTTTGGAACTTCTAATTCATCTCATGAGGAAACCCTTAGAAGCAGAACCCCAAAAAGCCCAAGAAGTGGCTTGTGAGGCTCTCCTTGGTCCAGGCTGGCCGCCTCTGCATGGGGGTGCTGTCACGCCTTTAGGTACCCTTACATGCACCCAGTCAGGGACACTGTAGAGCGCCCGATCACCAAGTGAATGCACTGTCTCACAGGGATTGCTAGGCTGATGCAGCAGTTGCCAAAGTGTATTCTATCTAACGTTCCAACCAGAAAACACTTCAGTGAATACGTATTTTGTGGCCCAACCTTGCCCTGTTGATCTCTCTTCATCTCTCCCTACATGATTCACAGCAGCATATAGAAGTAAAGGGATCATTTGAAAATGTGAATCTAGAGTTTCATATAACTTACCACCAATTTGATAAAGGAATCGGTACTAGTAACAGCCAGCAAAACTAATAGTCTGTGGAACACGCTTTGGGAAATATCCACATATATATGTGGAACCTTTTTGAAAGGTCTAATGGGGCACCAGTTTTTAATACACGAAAATTATGTTCAGTGTTTTCCTTAGGTTCCATCTCATGGGAACCCCGCTTTGGATGAGATTGCTTTATAATGAGTCTTCAGGTTATTCTCGTGTGACTACACACAGATGCTGTGATTGAAAGCTACTTGTTAAAGTTACTATTGTCCAGAAGTGCTCTTCTTCTCTGTGGGGTCTTTCTGCAGGTCTCTGTTTGCTTTGCAGCCATTTCAGAAGAGATAGAGAAAGAGGCTGGGGTGAAATCCAGGGCAGACACAGGACATCGGAGCTGGGACGCTCTGAAGTTACACTGTTTTCAGAATGATGAAAGCCCTGGGGATGTTTAACCTGGGAAGGGCACAATAGCTATTCTTACATATTTGAGGGACTGCCATATACACAGAAAACAGCTAGCACACACAGAATGCAGCTCAGCATCAAAAGAACTTTCTAGACCTTCATTGCAGCCAAACCATGTTAAGTACCTTTCAGGTCTGAGCGTCTGTGCTACATGTTTGAACCCCTGGGAAGCGTGGCTGCCTTTGAGAATCACTGTGGAAGAAATCCTTGTTTCTGAGACCTCCGACATTCCTTCTAATGCTGAGACTGATTCTCACTCTGTACTGATGGGATCTGCCACCCCAAAACATAGGTCTTCTTGGCAGAGGGACTCAAAGAGTTGGCTGTTCCTCCAAGGGTATCTCCTTTGTTAGTCATTCTGGAAAGTGTGAGTTTTCTGCGCCCATTCCCAACCAAGCTAACTGCGCCCACAGCCTTTGTGATCAGTTGTTGTTAATACAGTCTGCCTATTTTATTATTCTAATTGCTCCCGCTAAAGAATCCAAGTAGAAATCAAAGATTAATTTAGATACCTATGAATGTATAGATTTTCTGTATATAATAAATTGTATGTTCTTTGCATATGCATAGGCACAGGTGATGGGGCCTTTGTCAGTGTTTCCCCCGAAACTCTCAGGCCAGGAGGAAAGTGATGCCTCCTTGGATGATGAAAGCCTCCCTCTTAACTATTTACATCCCCAAGTGAAACTCCCGATGTTGGTAATTTTATTTGTATTCACATTAAACTGACTTTTCAGTGTGAAGTGAGTTTTAGCAGATGATGCAGTTTACGTTAAATGTCATAGAAATCTAGCACCCGCCGGCGCCACAGCTCACTAGGCTAATCCTCCGCCTTGCGGCGCCGGCACACCGGGTTCTAGTCCCGGTCGGGGCGCCGGATTCTGTCCCGGTTGCCCCTCTTCCAGGCCAGCTCTCTGCTGTGGCCAGGGAGTGCAGTGGAGGATGGCCCGAGTACTTGGGCCCTGCACCCCATGGGAGACCAGGATAAGTACCTGGCTCCTGCCATCGGATCAGCGCGGTGCACTGGCTGCAGCACGCTGGCCACGGCGGCCATTGGAGGGTGAACCAACGGCAAAAGGAAGACCTTTCTCTCTGTCTCTCTCTCTCACTGTCCACTTTGCCTGTCAAAAAAGAAAAAAAAAAAAAGGAAATCTAGCACCCAACACAGTATCTGGCATATAGTGGACACTTAATTTGTCCATGAATGAATAAAAATGGGGATATTACAGAGTTTCCTTAAATGCTTGTTGATTCAGGCCAGAATACTGTCTCTTTCAGCCATTCACTCCACCAGTACTTTTCCCACCCACGTGCCCATCCTGGCAAAACTCATCTCCTTAAGCTCCATGTGAAAAGGGCTCTCGGCTTTTATCTCAAGAGGATTAAGCTTCTAAGAATGTCCATTCAGCCTCTCATTCTTTTGACACCAATTCTGTTGGTCAAGCTGTATTGAAAGTGGTTGCCTGACTGTGCCATTCCTCACTGATATTCTTTGGGAGCCTGGAATATTCAAGGTCATGCTAAGACAGCCATTTAGAATCTTTCCAGGAGGTCAGCGTAGATTTTCAGGGTGCTACTTGGAGTTCTAGGCAGCGTTTCCCAAAACATAACTGCTTGAGGTTTACAGCAAATTGGAAAGGTCAGGAAACACACAATGGCCAGGTTACCATTGGTGACTGGATTCATCCTGGGAGGAAAGACTACAGCGACCAACTTGGGCCACCAGAACCCAGTGGCATAACACCTCCTGCACTCAGACTTTACTAGGAATATGCTTCCCCGTCTGTCCCAGAAATGCTTTATTGACAGGAGTCGGTAAAGACGTCTTACCTGTTGGGCCTGAGAAAGAGAATCCCCAGCTTGTGCAAAACCAAGGGAATCACCACACTTAACGCTGCCCGACTGCCCGTGAAAGTCCGCGTGGCAGTCTGCAGGGCATGGTCAGCCTGCTGGGGCCGCAGTCATGGGGCCTGCGGCTTACAGTAAGCAACCAGACAATTCCTCATTACGCTGCGGGGTGGTGGCGGTACTTCATGTAGTAATTAAGGAAGAAAAGGCACCTGTCTCAGGAGCTCTGTTGATTGGATGCTTTCATAAAAGCATTCAAGGAAATGAACTCATGAATGCTGGGAGAACCTGGGGAGGGGGGTGGTGGACCCAGGCCCGAGCAGTTTCTAGGACATCCAGGTGATTTCCCAGGTTGCAGAATGGTGGAGCAGGGGTCTCCAAGTGAGACTCAGCTTGAAAGAGAGAAGAGGTCAGACTTTAGATATTTTAATAAAATTAGGGGCTGGGCAATACATTATTTTCCTTGGGCTGCTATAACAAAGCAGCATGAGCTTCAGACAACAGGAAGGTATTCTCTGTGTTCTGGATGCTGGACATTGGAAACCAGGATGTGAGCAGCATCTTGCTCCCTGGGACAGTTTTGGGGGAGACTCTTTCCTTGCCTTGTGCAGCCTCCGGTGGCTCCTGGCTTATGGCAGCGCCCCGTCTTCACATTCCTTCTCCTCTGGGTCTCTGAATCTGCTCCACTTAGAGGGCACTGGCTGTTGAACTTAGGGTTCAATGATTCCATCTTGAGATCCATAACTAATACACCTACAAAAGTCCCGTTTCCAAATTAAATTGCATTCTTAGGCTCTGGGGAGACCTGACCTTTGGCTGGAACGCTATCCTAGCTTCAGGGAGTGAGGAGTTTATTTATAGTTTACATTTCTAGCACCCAGTTCATCTTGTATAGTCATTAGGTTCTACTATAGATGATGATAAATGTTAATATTGTCATTATATCTGACTCCTCTCATTACTTAAGTTGTTGAGTACATATTGTTGAACATGTCACTTTAGGAAAAGCTATTTATACCAATAAAATACAGCTTTCTGATTGACAGAGTTCTGAAGCTTTGAAAAGGTAAGAAGGTCCCTTGAGTTTGAGAGTTGAAAATTCACCTCCCACAGCTGACCCGTGTCACTTGGTGGCAAGCACTGCAGTTTTAAGTTTACATGGGAAGCAGTGTTAGCAAAACTGATTCCATTGCAGTTTGGAATGTCCGTGAAAGGTCAGTGAGGAGCCTGGGATTTGCTTTCAGGTTGAACTGTTGAGTTACTCTATTGAAATTAAGACTGATGTAATCTCCGTTTTATGAAGCAGCTCGAGGCGAAGTGTGTGGATTGGAAGTTTCTCTTATGCATCAGCACCCTGTCTCAGCTCAGAGAAACCTTGGCAGTGAATCCGCAGCCCCAGGTCTGTTGCTGGAGTGGATTTTATTGACGGAAGTCTGGATGTGAGAAGTGATTTGGATCCAAACCTGTGCACCTCACATTCACATACACTTTTGACCTTTTAAAAAGAATGCTTAAATATAGCTGAGTTTCCAGTATCTTCAGAACTGCAAAAGCACTGATAGCCTATTTTCTCACTTGCAGATGAGCAGGTTACTAGACAAATGATTTCTGGATTTTCAGTGATCATGTTTACCTTACGAATGATTCAAGAAATACATCTCGTTTTTATTGTATTTCACAGAAACCTGGGCCTGCAGCATCAGCAACATATCTAGTACCATGCAGAAAAAAAGTAACGGAAATCCTGTGCACAGAAAGTATTTTTTCAAATTTGATTTTAGAATTTCTGCACACTTCACATAGGAATAGTAATTACCCTCCATATCCAGAGATGCCCAGTTATTCACCAGTCCAAGGTCGTTTTTTCCCCCGAGCTGCAGTGATAGTATTGCTTGCATCTCCCTTTGTGATTCTTTTTCCGGGCTCAACTCCCCCCCCCCCCCCCAAGGATTTCTGCAGATGCAGTGGAAGATTCTCTGCCCTGGAGACACCCCTTAGAGGCTGGTGAACCACTCGTTTATCTGGCTCTTGTAATGGGTTGTTAAAAGCACTTGTTCATCAGATATTTTCTTTTTCTTTTTATTTGTAGATTTAGAAGTATTTTAGCAGGTGTACATTTGCATATAAAAGAGAATAAAAGATACGAAGTTGAGGCTTTTTCTTTCTTCTCTCCAGCATCATCTCTCTCCTACCTCCCTTTATTCAGCAGGTTTTCATTTTCTTTCTCTAGCTGTTTCTATTTTCTAGACACAAAACGTATATCAAAAAGAAAAAAAAAAAAAAAAAAACAGTCCCAGTGATCCGTCAGCATTTTGCAGGCAGAGAGACTGGGTTTGGGCAGCATATGTAACAAAGTAGGTGAAAATACATTTATTCCGTTGTGTCATCCGCCTGGAAATAGTAGCCAGGGATGGATTTTAACCCCGTGGAGTTGCTGCTGCACAGGACTGGCCCCTGGGGCTTGTTTTATGCTTTCAACAGCGTTATTTTTTACTTTTTAAATGAAATCTTGACACAGATTTGACTGTGTCGTAGGTGCTTGACTGAGCAATTCAAAACTGAAAGCTTGAGCATGTGTCTGTGTGTTTGTGTTACCAGAACATTCCAAGTGAAAATAATTGTATGCCTTAGACATATTTGTTGTATCTGACCATCTTCATGACTACGTGGTTTTGGGGAAGCTTAGTGTTACTAATGGGAGGGGTGTTTCCCTGAAGTTCTAAGTCAGAGGATAGAACGTGATGTCTTAAGCAGCTACCCGGTTCTCACATTTTCGGACTTGAGGGTCACTGAATCTTTCTCTAAATTATGTCCCCCTTGGGAATCTGAGAATCCGGTCCCTACCTTATTTACAGCAGGCCAACTTCTAGATGTATTCCTTTTGCTCTTTTGTCTCTCTGTTTGTTTGATAACTGAATTTGCAGGGCAGCACAGTTTTGCCTTTAACTGATCCATCACTGTCCTTCCTTAAAAAAAAAAAAAAAAAGCCTGGTTCTGAGTTGGCACAAACCCTGCAATCTGTCTCCTTACCTTTTGGCTTCATGAAATTGGCATCATGGCCAAATCTTCTAGGCTGGCTGAGTCATTTGAGAGCCCTTAGCAAAAAATATGCTCTTGCCTCCTGAGAGCCTGGAACCTGACCCATGTGGCTATCCAGCTCTTTTGAGGCGAAAGCTGACATCTGCTTGTCTTCTTCGGCTGCATTTTACCCTGAGTGTTCTTGCACTGTTCTTAGTGATCACAAAAAAAAAAAAAATGCTCACTGCTATCTAACATCCAGGTTGCAAATCTGCTCTGGTTGGCCTGTGCAGTGTTTTCTTTAAAAAGAACGAGGCAGAAGTCTAGCAAGACCATGCCCACTTTCCCCACTTGGCACCCATTGACCCCAGCCAAGGATCAGCTGCCCCCTGTGGCTCTCCAGGATGTCCTGCTGTGCTCCCTTCCCTTGATACACCTTGCCAGTGTCACTTGTCTGTGGTGCCTGTTTGGCCCAGAAGACCCCTATATTCGCAGCCCCACCCTATCCAGTCTGTTGTAGCGATCTGTGGTCATGAAGCCACCTCTCTGTGTCCTGACTTGTTTATGCAAGCTATCTCCCCTTTAACCAACCCTTGCAAACCTTGTCTTTCCCATCTGGATCCACCAGCCCTTTCACACTGTTTTGCGCTGCAGTTCTGCCTGGAACTGTAGCATGATACATGCCATGGAGAGATCAGCTGCAGCTCTGACATGACTCCTGCTCCATACAGACTTCCTCTTGTCTGCCTGCACAGCACGTGCTGACCCCTCCACCCCTCCAGGGCTTTGGCGTCTGTGGTCCTGCCCCATTTCATGTTTATTCCTCCAACTGAAAGCAGTTCATCCATGTACCTTTGAACATTCGCTCTGCCCTGAAGCCATGGGAAGAAGCATGCGGTGGGTTGGGGGTGGGACGTGTGCATAGCAGCCTCAGCCTTTTTGTACCTCTCAGGTCAAGGCGTCTGCCTCCCAGATGATAACTCTGCAGGGCCCCGTCCGTGACGCTGTGCTGGGGAGCAGGGGCCACAGAAGGTTTAAGGAGCCTGACCGGAAGGGGTCGGCTCTGGCTGAGTGGGCCAGAAAGGCTGAGCCCGTCTCCCTGCAAGGCCACTGGTCACCTGGAAGCAGACGTGGGGCGGCCTTGAAGGCTGAGACAATAGGAAGGGGCTCCAACCCTGGCTCCCACTTCCAGCCCTGAAGCCTTTGTTTATCAAGAAGCTGCTCCTCCCCCCAACCCCCAGTCCCTGCCACTGTTTGATGTCTGTCTTCAGTATGCTTTCCCTGACCATTTCCTTAACTGGATGCAGAAATAGCACACGGTCATTAAGACCTGGACTTGGATCCTGAAGGCTAAAAACGTTCTGGGTCGGTTTTTATAAAATCAAAAAACAGGACATTTTCACCTGTTTTATAATGACTCTTTACCTTCAGAATTTCAGAAACTGATTTTTGGTAATACCTCCCGCTCTCAGAATCACCTCACAACACAAACAGAGAACACTACAGCGCCTCCTACTGGAGGCATCCCACTGCTTGGAAATGCTTTATCCCCCAGGGTTCACACAGCACATACGCACATTAAGTAAAACAACATGTTTTCCCTTAGGCCTGCATTACCCCTATTGTTTTCTTTACAAATTTGTTGAAATACTCAGACATATAATGTCAAAAAGTGTTGCCTAGGAGTTGAGTCCTTGATCTATACGTGTGTTAATTACATAGCATCAGATATTCCAAAGTAAGGTAGATGCTCATCTTAAATGCTCAGTTTTAACCTGGTTGATTCCCAGTAGAGCAAGGTAAGTTCCATTTGTAATTCTTCACTGTGGTGGAAGTTTTAATCCAGAAATAAGGGGCTCCTGCCTGAGTTAAGTTGAGCCAGCAAAAGCAAGAATGCAGCCGATTGCCCGCTCCTGGTGCTGCCAGCACAAATCCTTTGATATCTGCATTGGAAGTATGGATGCGGTTTTGTTTTTCCATGTCACAATGCTAATTCTCTCCTTATTCCATTCAGGTGCCCTTCATATGTAAGGTAGTGAGGAAGACTGTACCATGCAACTCCTTCCCCTGATGTTTGTTGACTGCTTTCCCAGGGGTCTTCCCCAGTGTCGCAGCAGACATCAGTAGAAGCCCCCCAGGCCAAGGGCGTCCTGTGGACAGAAGCTAGTCCAAGCTGTTGCTGATGGCTCTGGACGCCTGGCTTTGTTCCTTGCAGGTGTCTGTCTCCCCGTTGGTTAGTGGGGCTCATAGCTCGTCCTGCAGCTGCCACCCTTCCTGGCTCACTCACCGTTCACTTAGCCTCTCCTAGAGGGACAGGGAGCACTCCCAGGTGCCCTGACCACTGGGGAGGTCGGCTGTCCCTCCTGGTTCATTCCTGTAGCCATAAGCAAGGGCTGTGGGGGAAGAGAACCCACTTTACTGGGATGCTGGTCCACAGACCCACTCAACGGATTGACGAATTCAGCCGCCTCAAATAGACTCATACAGCTTGCCTTTGAGCTGCATTGCTTTTTGTTTGTTTTCAGAATTTCTAAAGAGTGGTAAGTCAAAAAGTTAACTTGCAGGCATTTGAAAAGTGTTTACCTCTTAGGCAGAATTGAAGAAACTTCTCTCTGGACAGTAGGAAAGTCAGTGTTGCTATGATTTTTTTTTTTAAATCTATAGAAACAAAAGTCTACCAGTTGCTGAAGATGTCTACCCTTCAGAATAACAGAAAGCAAACTGAAGACAGATTTCAGAAGGCAGATGCTTCTGTGCCACCATTATCAGGTAAGCTAGGGTGGATTCTGCACTGGACGTCAGTTTCCTGGCCCAGAACTGGGCCCAGGCATTCTTTGAAGGCTTCTGGATTTTGCTTTGTAGCAAGGTATGACCAGGTCATGGACAGCTAGTGCTGTTTTATCCTTAGCAAGCAGCTGTTTGGAGGCACCATCTTCCCCCTTCCCCACCCCCACCCCTGCCCATCTGTGTGCTGGTCCCAGACTGGGGCTTCTGCCAAACATGTCATGATGGTCCCCTGTCATCTCAGTTCCTTCTCCTGTCTCCTGGTTTCTTAATCATCAAAGGGGCAGTGTTGTCTGGCCTGCCCCCCAACACCAGAATGTGGGGGCTTTTGAGTTGTTTCGATGTAAGTCTCTGGAAGGCTGAGTTCCTGCCTTCTATAATTTTTTTATTTATTTTCTTTGTTGTATTATATTTTGTTATTGTACATGTATTACTTTCAGTGCTTTTCCTTATATTATAACTTTTTCTTAAAGATTTATTTATTTGGAAGGCAGGGTGAGAGAGAGACAAAGAGATAGGGAGATATCTTCCAACCTTTGATTCACTCTCCACATGGTCACAACAGCCAGATCTGAGCCAGGTTGGACTAGGCTGAAGCCAAGAGCTGGGAACTACATCCTGTCTCCTACATGGGTGGCAGGGGCCCAGGTATCTAGTTCATCTTCTGCTGCCTTCCCAGGCACATTAGCAGGGAGTTGGATCTAAAGCAGATCACCCAGAACTTGAACTGGACCTCAATTGCACCACAGCAGTGGCCCATTTTGACACTTCTGAAGAAGTATGTTACCTCAGCTCTCTTTGTGAAAGTAAGTAGATTAACACAGACGTGCACATTAATGACTAGAATCACCCTGCCGAAGTTTGATCCATCAGAGTGAGCAGGGATTAAAAAAAAAAAAAAAAGATTTATTACTTTGAAAGGCAGACTTACAGAGAGACAGGGAGGGGCATTAAGGAAGAGAGAGAGCTTCCATACACCAGTTCACTCCCCCAAACAGCTGCAACGGCCAGGGCTGGGCCAAGCTGAAGCCAGGAGCCAGGAGCTTCATGCAGGTCTCCTGTGTAGGTAGCAGGGGCCCAAGCACTTGGGCCATCCTCCGCTGCTTTCCCCAGGCACATTAGCATCAGAAGTGGAACAGCCGGGACTTGAACCACTGCCCATATGAAATGTCGGTGTCGCAGATGGCAGCTTAACCCACTGTACCACAACACAACACTGGCCTCAGTTCCTTACTGTCACATAATTTCCTGTCCATATTCAGATTTCCCAGTTGTTGCATACATGTCTTCTACATATAGACATTTTTCAAGGGACACTTAGAGTGCATCAGACTTAGCTGTCTGTATTCAGAGAGCTATTTCCTGGTGCTAGTAGTGGTAGAGTTGGTTGCGGCAAAATTCAGTTATTTTGGTTGCCTTAAGAATCCAGTGAGCCACTACAGGTTAAAAGTCCATGAGGCCAGTGCTGTGGCACAGTGGGTTAAAGCCCCAGCCTGCAGCACCGGCATCCCATATAGACACCAGTTCGAGTCCCAGCTGCTCCACTTCCGATCCAGCTCTCTGCTGTGGCCTGGGAAAGCAGTAGAAGATGGCCAAGTCCTTGGGCCCCTGCACCCACGTAGGAGACCTGGAAAAAGATCCTGGCAACTGGCTTCGGGTCAGCTCAGCTCTGGCTATTGCGGTCATTTGGGGAGTGAACCAGCAGATTGGAAGACCTTTCTCTCTCTTTCTCTGGCTCTACCTCTCTCTGTAATTCTGTCTTTCAAATAAATAAAATAATTCTTTAAAAAAATCCAACACAGTGCCTGAAAATGAAAGCTCCATGGGAGGGCCAGCCTCTGAGGTGGCTATTTATTCTCCACAGACAGGAGACAGTGCAGTTTGTTGAGGTATCAAACAGGGCCTCCGTCCTGATGGAGAGATACCAACACTTGTAAACTCTTGGCTTTCGTCACCTTCAAGTTCTTCACAGTGGAGCCAACAGAATCTTAGAAAGTTTGTAGCCAACCTCTTCATTTTGTAAATGAGGTCCCCAGAGTGATTCCTGGCTTGGAGCGTTATAGCTGGCTAGCAGACACACAGCTGGGAAGACAGCACCACAAATCTGGTTTGGGTAAGTATCTTTCAGGCAGTTCATTGGACCAGAGCAAAAGAGGATTACATTTGGCGTAAGTCAGATCTCTTGACTGTTGTATCAAAAATTATGCTACTATTAATATACTAGAATGAACGTATATTTTATGAACTTGTAAGGTTAGACATTCAAGCGCCACTAGTTTCAAGTCCCTCACTGCACCCTAAAGCTTACACCATGTGCTTTTTACCAGGTTCCAGATGTTCCAGCTGTAGAATCAGGCAAGCGCTCCTGATGGTGGCTGCAGGCAGTGAAGCGAGACGGTGACCTCACTGACATGTTCGCTCAGTGTCTTTCCAGCCCTGCTCTCCCCCCACTCTTAGGAACTTCTCTGAGCTCCGGAGAGAAGTGGAGAGCGCAGAGAGCAAGCCCCGTCAGAGGCGGTGGTGGGCACGTGTACTCTGAACACCGAGGTTTTTTTGGTCTCTGTCCCAGGCCTGGCTCCGAGAAAAGCCACTGGAACTGCGAGCCTTAGTATTCATGTCCTTTTGCCACACAGGAAGACTCTTGAGTGAATACGGGCACCGGAAACTGTTAAGGACGACCGCAAGGGTTACCTGCAGGCAGGCAGGTTACAGATGCTTTTGGCCAAGATCTCTGCCTAGGATCTCGGGTGACGGCCAGTGCAGAACCAGGCCCATCACAGAAACATCCGAGGTTGAGGATGCCCCAGAGGCGGCAGTCAGGGCTCGCTCTGCCTTCCGGGAGCACAATGGAGACTGTCCAGCTCCCCTGGCTCCAGGGAAAGAGGCGGCCTGTGCGTCCTCCTCCTCCCTTTTCAGGCCAGTTAAGGAATGGCCGTGATGGTTTTCAGTGGAGATTCAGTCTCCTTGGTGGGACGGAAGGTAGAAGAATTGGCAGAGGAGTGCCAAGGCCACCCGGGTGGGTAACTGCCTCTAGGGGAGCCCAGCACCCCTCATCTTGATGACCCCATTGTTGTCCTGTGTCATAACCATGCGAATTAGCCAGTGCTTTGTGCCACAGTAGACACCCATGTACTTAGCTGTACATCTTGGTCAGTTAAAGGAGAGCTTTTGGGGTGATTTTCTGTTTTGCCTTTCGTTGCTCCCGTGGAAGTATCCGAGGAAACCTGCACCTCCTCTCGGTATTCTTCCAGCGTGTCGGGCCTTGCTCTGAAGCTCACTTGCCTTCTGCGGTTCCCCCAGCGTCTTCCTCCGCTCGCCTTGGTTTTCCCGGACTGTGTGAGGCCTCTCTTCTGCACATCTTGTTCCCTTCTGCCTGGCAGCCAGTGCTCACCCTCCCGGCCTGTGCTCTCTCCCCAGGTGTGAACGCTGACAGCAGCACCCTCAAGACAAAGCCAGCCAACAGAATGGCTGCGGAGGCTGGGCTGTCCTGTGAAGGAAGTCCTTTGTCAAGGTGAGGTCTGGAAGGGCTTTCTGAAGAGCAGCCCCAAGACGGGGGATGTCAGGACACAGTGCGTGCAGCCCCGACTGCACACCATGGGCCACGGCTGCAGGGTTATCCTTTGGGTTTTTGTTGATCTAAAATAACAGTGGAAACTTTAGCGTACCTTTGAAAATGTTTGCGCCAGAGCCAAGCATTGTCTCTCGCAGCTGTTGTCTCCTTGGTTTAAGACTCAGCTGACACCTCAGTGAGCCACAAATTAGCGCCCACAGCTGCTTGCAGTGGGCCTGCTCAGAGACCACACAATGGAGGTGGGAGGGCGGGGGCGGGCAGAGCGAACACATCAGGCCTTCAAAGAAATAAAGTGACAGGTGCCTTCTTTCCAAGGCGGCTGATGCTAGCCACGCCGGACGCTCGCTTTTATGCTCCTGCTCCTCTCCAGGGAGGTGGGCTAGATTGTGCCTACCTTCTCTGCGACACTTCCTAGCTTATTTTCCATAAGGAACAAAATTTATCTTTTCCCAGTTGTTAAATTGCTGCATTTCTTGTAAGTTTTGGGGCCACGATAAGTGAATTGTACACTGAATTTGCCCATGTGAAACATTAATCGTGCCATGATTTCAAGTCATTTAAAAGAATTTATAGGTGGGAATGTAAACAAGTGTCTGGTGAAATACCTACCTTTTTGCTTTAAGGTGAATATCTTCTAAAACAGCACAGCAAGCAGGTTTCAGCGTTGCTCATTACAGCGGTGTCTTCTAAGTGACTGTATCACATCCGGGTGAAATGCTAAAACAGGAACTGTACATTTCTAATGTGACATACAGTGTTCCATAAAATAAAATGATTTGAGCTAGAAGTGTATTTTCTAATGAAGGAATATCTGTAAAAACTTCACAATACGGTATTGTTAGGTAGGATCTGGCATATATTGAAAATGACTAGTTCTTTTAAATTCTTCCCTTTAAAAACTCGATATGCATCTAAAATATTCATTTAATTGTCAGAAATTATTATTTAATGCCCGGGTTTTCATCCATGTGTTTGAAGGAATGGGACAGATGAATGGGACAGAAGAGTATTTTTACAGTTATACCACAAGTTCAAGTTCTCAGTGTCCTAAAAGAAATTTCCAAAGCCAGTGAATTCTACAGAGAGTTTTCAGGGCTTAATGTTACCATCTGGCTTAACAATATATCCCTTTAGTTCCGTAAAGATTTTTTGTCTCCACTAAAAAAAAATTCTTAAAGTTTTCTT